CAGGCAGAGGCTCAATCAGTCAGTCAGGCGGGCAGCGGCTCAATCAGTCAGGCGGGAAGCGGCTCAATCAGTCAGGCGGGAAGCGGCTCAATCAGTCAGGCGGGAAGCGGCTCAATCAGTCAGGCAGGAAGCGGCTCAGTCAGTGAGGCAGGAAGCGGCTCAGTCAGTGAGGCAGGAAGCGGCTCAGTCAGTCAGGCAGGAAGCGGCTCACTCAGTCAGGCAGGAAGCGGCTCAATCAGTCAGGCGGGAAGAGCGGCTCCATCAGTCAGGCAGGCAGCGGCACCATCAGTCAGGCAGGCAGCGGCTCCTTCAGTCAGGCAGGCAGCGGCTCCATCAGTCAGGCAGGCAGCGGCTCCATCAGTCAGACAGGCAGCGGCTCCATCAGTCAGGCAGGCAGTGGCTAAGTCAGTCAAGCAGGCATCGGCTCAATCAGTCAGGCAGGCATCAGCTCAATCAGTCAGTCATGTATTAAAATTCATTTTATTACTATATCTATCAGAAAAAACTTCCTTAATAATAATAATGAAAAAAGCATTCAAAGAAAATGCTTAAGAATTTTTTTTTCATACATGTAGGCTTCGGGTCAATCAGTCAGGCAGGCAGCGGCTCCATCAGTCAGGCTGGCAGAGGCTCCATTCGTCAGGCAGGCAGCGGCTCCATCAGCCAGGCAGGCAGCGGCTCATCAAGTCAGGCAGGCATCGGTTCATCAAGTCAGGCAGGCATCGGCTCATCAAGTCAGGCAGGCATCGGCTCATCCTGTCAGGCAGGCATCGGCTCATCCTGTCAGGCAGGCATCGGCTCTTCCAGTCAGGCAGGCATCGGCTCTTCCAGTCAGGCAGGCATCGGCTCATCAAGTCAGGCAGGCATCGGCTCATCAAGTCAGGCAGGCATCGGCTCATCAAGTCAGGCAGGCATCGGTTCATCAAGTCAGGCAGGCATCGGCTCATCCAGTCACGCAGGCATCGGCTCAGTCAGTCACGCAGGCATCGGCTCTGTCAGCCAGGCTGGCAGGCAGCGGCTCAATCAATCAAGCAGGAAGCGACTCAGGTAGGCATCGGCTCATCCAGTCAGGCAGGATACGGCTCATCCAGTCAGGCAGGAAGCGGCTCATCCAGTCAGGCAGGAAGCGGCTCATCCAGTCAGTCAGGAAGCGGCTCATCCAGTCAGGCAGGAAGCGGCTCATCCAGTCAGGCAGGCATCTGTTCAGTCAGGCTGGCAGGCATCGGCTCAATCAGTCAAGCAGGAATTGACTCAGGTAGGCATCGGCTCATCCAGTCAGACAGTAAGCGGCTCATCCAGTCAGGTAGGCATCGGCTCATGCAGTCAGGCAGGAAATGGCTCAATCAGTCAGGCAGGAAACGGCTCAATCAGTCAGGCAGGAAACGGCTCAATCAGTCAGGCAGGCAGGCATCGGCTCAGTCAGGTAGAAATCGGCTCAGTCAGTCAGGCAGACATCAGCTCAATCAGTCAGGCAGACAGGCAGACATCGGCTCTGTCAATCACGCAGGCAGGCATCGGCTCAGTCAGGCAGGCAGGCATCGGCTCAATCAGTCAGGCAGGAAGCGGCTCATCCAGTCAGGCAGGAAGCGGCTCATCCAGTCAGGCAGTTATCGGCTCATCCAGTCAGGCTGGCATCGGCTCAATCAGTCATGCAGGCATCGGCTCATTCAGTCAGACAGGCATCGGCTCATTCAGTCAGACAGGCATCGGCTCATTCAGTCAGGCTGGCAGCCGCTCAATGAGTCAGGCAGTGGCTCTATCACTCATCAGTCAGTCAGGCTGGCTAAATTACCGCGCATAGTGCATTAATGAAAAGCTTTTCAATTTAAATTCTACAATTGAAAAATGCTGCAATATGTAAAAATTAACGTTAAAGTTATGAACCTTTCAAAATAATGATTCTCACACTTTATTTTTATCATTCGATATGATTAAAACTAATGCATCTAAAGTTTCACGAAATTACAATTTTTTGAGAATAAAATTTTGTAGAAATAGTTTCGTTTGTTCTATGTTATGAATCTATTACACTCAAGAGAAAAAAAATCCCTATTCCGCAAGTTTTAAGAAGATGAATATATTCTTACTCAAATGCTGTCTAAATTTTATTAATTAAAAACAAATTTTAATAAGTTTAATATGCATTAAAACTACATCCCAAAACATCTAATAAAGTTCAGAAAAGCTTGTTTAAAAAAATTGCTTCAATCTAAGTTCATTTTTAGAAATTTCTAAACTCTTAGGTAAAGATTTTGTAAATTAAAAAGGCATTTGAATTCAGTACAGTTATATATAAACATAATCAATACTATTTTTGAATGCAATACTAATACAGAAATATAAATACTCGTGTAAATAAAAAAATTTAAGGTAAAAAAAATTGCTATTAAAAAAGTCTTATTTAATTTCTAATACAATTATCTATAAATACGTAAGCTTTTTATTGTTATAATATGTAAAGATTCATCCCTAATCCCTAATTATAAATGGGAATTAATGTTTAAATAAATGACATTGTTTAAATAAATTTTAAGCAAACAAAGAGTTCATCTGAGAACACTTTTAATAACCCTTAAAGTAGTAAAAAGTGTGTTAAGACTGATTTTGCAATTGAAGCCTGAAATGCATCAATAATATATTTTTAAATACTCCTAACCCATTTAAACTCACTGTCATAAAGTTATATTTGGATACCTTTCAAAATAGGGCCAAAAATATAACAAAAATACAGCCAAATTACAGCATTTATATGCATGTCAAAATAAAACCAAAAAACATTTTAAATTACAGCAAAAAATATATAAATTAATTCATAATATACTGTTGAAAATGTTATACTTCCTAAATAACAGCTTTTGTTGACACAGACATAGTTTTAATAAAACTGAGAGATCTCAAAGGCAACAAACTTTATTAAAAAATTCTAAGCTCCTGGTAATTATAGA